GTAGATTGCCCAACCTTCCTACCGAGGAGTGGCTGGTGGGTTCGAACTGCTAGCCTTCTGGTTAGCAGTCAAATGCCTTAGGCACTATGCTACCAGAGCTCCCCTAACTTTACCAGGGGGAGAGAATCAGCATCAGCATTAGCCTCTGTGAAGCAGAGGTCAGACATACCTTCTCTCTCAACTTTTTTTACCAATTTGAATGCCAGCCGTTCATCCTGTGGTACTCTACTTCTCTACCTGGTTCGATAATTTGTTGCAATGGCCTCACAGAACTCACAGACAATATGATTATGGAGTTGGTTGGGGAAGTAACAGGCTACAATTTAGGATTACAAAGCACTCAGGATATAGTTCTTTGGTTAGGACAGTTTCTTGGTCATGCCCATAGGTGGGCCTCTCCCTGCTCCTCAGTCTCTTGGACCATACTGACCTCTGCCCTGCTCAGGCAAGTTTACAAAGCTTTTTATTTCCACTGATAAGTGCCCAGAAGCACCCCACTTTACAAGAAAGCCTCAGCCCAAAGGTGCTCAGCTTTCTCACTTTGAGGATAAGCATACCCATTGTAACTGCCTTGTTCTGTGGGCCAGGAAGCCCACTGTGCCATCTTGTGCTGGTTTCCTGATTCTGCTTCTGCTATTTCTCTGCTGTACTTCTTGCACCTCTGGTGTTATAGATCTCTCTGTCTCCTGAGTCTAGGAGGTTCTCAGTGTAGGGACCCCAGGTCCAAAGGACACATTACACTCTTGGCTCTTTTTCTTGGTGATAGTAGAGTCCTCCTTGTCTGCCTCTGGGATTGCTCATTTTAAGTCTAGCAGGATGGCAAAACTGACCAATGCTGTTGTTAGGGTTCCATACCCCTTATTTGCATGGTCTCATCCCTACAAAGGTGCCATGTACCTCCAGTGCAGAGAATTACTTAATATGCACTTTCTAGTCTTGGTCTTTGTGACTCCTACCAGATGACTGGGCAGAACTATGCAGTTGTGAGGTGCTTGTGGCACACTAAGGGGATTGGATAGCTTGTTAATAAAGTAAATAAATAAGTTTCATAGCACTCTGGTGGGGGTAGGACCAAGCAAATGAGATGTATGGAACCCTAATGTGGGGATTGGTCAGTTTTGCCATCTCACTAGGTTTAAAATGAACCATCCTAGAGGCAGAAAAGGGGGGTCTCACTACCATTAAGAAAGAAGAGCTAGGAGTGGAGCATGTTCTTTGAATGAGAGATCCTTGCACTGAACCTCCTTGATCCGGGAGACAACAGAGTTGTGACGCCAGAGTTAGCAAGAAGTTGTGGCAGAGAAATGGTGGCAACAGAGGTAGCAAAACCAAGAGATTGGCACAAGATAGAGTGGCCCATGGAGTGAGAAAGCTGAGTGCCTTTGGGCAGGAGGGTTATTGGTGGAGTGGGGTGTCTCTCTGGGCACCTAGTAGCCCTTAAAGAGCTTTGTAACACTTGCCTGAGCAGGACAGAGACCAGACTGAGTGGCTGAGAACCAGAGGGAGACCTGCCTTCAGTCATGGCTAAGGAGAGTCTGCCTGGATTGAAGAACTGTATGCTGAGTGTTTCTGATACTATTATTCATGTATGCCTTGAACCTGGAAGTAGGGAGAGCTAGATGTACTACAATCATCTTAGAATCTAGGGACTATTACTTCCCTAATAAACCCCATGTTGTTGTTGTTATATGCCGTTGAGTCGGCCCCGACTCATAGCGACCCCTCCTTGAGTTTCCGAGGCAGTATCACTATGGAAGTAGGATTGCCCAACCTTCCTTCTGAGGAGTGGCTGGGTGGGTTTGAACTGCCAGCCTTCTGGTTAGCAGTCAAGTGCCTTAGGCACTATGCTACCAGAGCTCCTAATAAACCCCATAATTGTGAATATTGTCTGTGAGTTCTGTGTGGTATTGTAACAAATTATCAAACCTAGCAGAGAAGTGGAGAGTGCCATGGGAGGGGTGATTGGTGTCAGAATTGGTAAAATGGTTGGAGGTGACAGCATGTCCGACTTCCATTCATAGGAATCAGCTTTGGGCTGTTGATGTTGATTGATCCTCCGCCCTGCTTGTGAAATTAGAGGAGATCAGATGCCAGGGTCTCCATGCCATTTTTACAACACCTTATTTGCATTAGCAGTAAGCTGTCTAATCCCTTTGGTGGGCCACAACCATCTTATTTGCATTTTGTTGTTGTTGTTAGGTGCCATCAAGTCAGCTCCAAGTCTTAGCAACCCTATGTACAAGAGAATGAAACACTGCCTGTACTGCACCGTCCTCACAGTCTTGCTATGCTTGAACCCATTGTTGTAGCCTCTGTGTGAATCCGTCCAATTGAGGGTCTTCCCCTTTTTTACTGACTTTACCAAACATGATATCTTCTCCCTTCTGACAGCATGACCAAGGTAGGTGAGATGAAGTCTAGCCATTCTCACTTCTAAGGAGCATTCCAGCTGCATTTCTTCCAGGACAGATTTTTTTGTTCTTCTGGCAGTCCCTGGTATTTTCAGTATTCTTTGCCAACACCACAATTCAAAGGCATCAACTCTTCTTTGGTCTTCCTTATTCATTGTTCAGATTTCATACATATAGGAGCTTGAAAATAACCTGGCTTGGTTTAGGCACACCATGCCAAGACCAATACCAAACGCAGTGCCGTCAAGTCGGGTTTGATTCATAGTGACCTCTCCTTGGGTTTCCAAAGCAGTATCACTGCGGAAGTAGATTGCCCAGCTTTCCTTCCGAGGAGTGGCTGGTGGGTTTGAACCACCAGCCTTCTGGTTAGCAGTCAGATGCCTTAGGCACTATGCCACCAGAGCGTGAAGACACCATAGTCTTCAAAATAAAATATTTGCTCCTTTGAAGAGGTCTTTTGCAGCAGTTAACACTTAAAAGAGGTCTTTTGCAGCTTGACTGCTGCTTCCATGGGTGTTGATTATGGATACAAATAAGCAGCCTTTTATTTCAGTTTGAAGTTCAGGTTCATTATGAAGCATTGTGCCCCTATTTGGCTTTTGTTATGTAAGATGAAAGCACATAAAATATCTTTTAGGTACCTAAACTTATTACTAAAAGTAAGAACATTGATTCTAAAAGTTTATGTCATAATATGTTATTAATTTATTGTTGTGGTGGCCATGCTAACACAGTTGTCAGACTCACTAAAACCCACTGTCTTCAAGTTAATTTCCACTCATAGCAACACTGCAGGATAGAGTAGAGTGCCCTACAGGGTTTATAAGGCTGTAATATTTACAGAAGCAGACTGCTACACCTATTTCCTTGCAATGTGGCTGGTGGCTATGAACCACTGACCTTTTAGTTATTAGAGGTTTAAGTTAAGCATTTAACTACTGTGCCACCAGGAGTCCTATAGTTGTCAAAATCTCTAGCTATTCTGGTTTTTTTTTTTTTTTTTTTTAATAGAATTTTATCTTACCTAAGAGTGAGGTTCTAAAGTCAATGCCTAAAATGAAAACAGAGTATAGTTAAACTTTTACCTTTAAAACATTGTTTTGCTTTGTTATATATTGTAATTTGTTGGCTTATGAAACTGAAAACCCCAAAGATAGGAACGGCTTTAGGTCCAACTTAATGACCAGGTGTTCCAACAATGTCACCAGCACCAGGATTTCATTTTCTCTTTTTCTGTTCTCACTCTTCTTCCTCTGAGTAATCTACATTATTCAACAGTCCCTATGATTCTAAGATGACTATAGTACATCTAGCTCTCCCTACTTCCAAGTTCAAGCCATACATGAACAATAGTGTCTTCTGGTGGTGTAATGGATAAGGGACTTGACTACTAACTGTTAGGCCAAAGCAAACCCAGAATAAAAACTTCTCTTTAACCTCACTTTTGTGTGTCCTCTTCTCCTTACTGTGGCCTTACACTAACCAGAAGGTCAGTGGTTCAAACCCACCAGCTGCTCCATGGAAGGAAGATTGAGCAGTCTACTTCCGTAAAGATTTACAGCCTTGGAAACCCAATGATGGGTTGCTATGAGTCAGAAATGACTCGATGGCAGTGAGTTTGGTTTTTTTTTTGTTTTTCCTCGTAGGTATTACACTGAACTTTGATAATACTGTCTCTCAATAAATCCAGCTAGTCTTTTACCTCCTCATCTGCCAACCTGCATTAGAACATTTCCCTCTTTCTTTTGTTAAATTATAGATGAAACATTTAGTACCAAGAGGACCAGGTTATAAAAAATATATATCTTTAAATAGATTTATACTCTATGATTGATATGTTCATACTTTGAGAAGTAGATAGGAACTGAGACCAACTGAGGAAACTTCAAATACTCATTGACTAGAATAATCAGCTGCACTATTTATAATGTTATTTTTATGACTTTTTTTTTTCTGTATACTTACGTGGTTGTAGTAGGAGCTCTGGTGGCATAGGACCTAAGGCATTTGATTGCTAACCAGAAGGCTGGCAGTTTGAACCCACCAGTCATTCCTTGGAAGGAAGATTGATCAATCTACTTGTGTAGTGATACTGCCTGGGAAACCCAAGGGGGGTCACTATGAGTTGGATCTGACTTAACAGCAGTGAATTAAGTTTGGTTGGTTTTTATGCTTATACTGAATTTTTATAAGGTAAAAATGCATATATTATAAATCCACTATTTTGATATCTAATTGACTTCCATTTTAGAATTGGATTATTTTATAATCCATAACTCTTACATACTTATTTGGAAAAGTAACATTCATATAATCTCAATCAAAGCTTAAGTCACTGATTATCTCAAATATGAGAATTTTTCAGAGATATTAATTATAACTGAGAGGTATAATATAATTAGACTTTCTTATGTTTTATATTCTCATAGTATATATAACTTTTTTCTTTCTTTTTTTGGGTCTTCCCTCAGATTGTAACCCTGAAGTGATAATGTGTTCTTAAGCTCTTTACAGATTGTGGTTTCTGTTCCTCATTTTTTACCTTTTCTAATATTGTGTATTTGTTACAGAAAAGATTTTTCTTCAAAAATGGATGGAGTGTGTTCAGACGCAAATGAAGAAAAGTAAGTTCATTCAGTGTGGCTAAAACTGTTATACATACTCTTTATCAGAAAATTTTCTAAATATTCCACTCTTTTCCATGGGAAAGAAATACAAAGTCATAGCCTTCCTTACTCTATCTTTGTATAAACTCATCTAGTGTCAAACTAAGAGGCATTTTAGAGGCTACCTCCCATCTGTTCAATTTAAAGATGAGGAAATTGAGGCCCACGGGGATGAAATGAGTTGTCTACGGTTGGCATCATAGACTGGTGGCCTGTTTGTAGCCTACAGACATACTTTTTTTTTTCCCCTCAGAATATCTTTTATTTTTTTCCTTTCAATTTTTGAATTAGTTGCCAGAATTTAAAACTCTCAAGGTTTTATATAATAATTAGATTTTTTAGCCTCTGGAAAAGCAAACATGGCAACATTGGGCTTATATTCTTACCTGGGGAGAGTTAACTGGAGTGGACTGTGTGACCTTTAGACCAGGCAGCAACTCTCCAGGTCACTACATTCTCAACACTCCCTATTTTTTTTCTGCCAAATTATCTGCTTGGCCTCCATAGGCTTTTGAAATTTTAAAACCTGGTCTAAAAATCACACAGCAGTAAAACCAAAGCTAGCATCTCTTGATTTAGAGCCCATTTATTTTATATCTCTGTGTTGTCGTTGTTGTTATATGCCGTTGAGTCATCTCCAACTCATAGCGACCCCTCCTTGGATGGTTTCCAAGGCAGTATCATTACAGAAGTAGATTGCCCAATTTTCCTTCTGAAGAGTGGCTGGTGGGTTTGAACCACCAACCTTCTGGTTAGCAGTCAAGTGCCTTAGGCACTATGCCGCCAGAGCTCCCTATTATCTCTGTAAATATGGTAAATTATGTTGTACTGCACTGTTGTTTAAGACTTAGACATGTACAGTATGTGTTTTAAAACACTGACTTCTTAAATGCTGGATTTAAAATCTTATAAATATTGCAGCCCAGAGTGCTAAATGGAAGTGCTGGCCAATTTAAAAGTACATAGGGGTGCTGTGATGATAGTTTTATTTAAAATTTCATCATTTTCTGATATGTAGGTAAATATTTGTTTTTTTCCTCTTTCAGTGACAATATAGAGAGAACTGTTAGAAGACGTCATTCCTCAGTAAGAAACATTTTTTAAACTAATAACTGTTACCTTTTATTGAATGATGACTATATACTGTAGTAATTTGATTGTAGCTTCCCCACACACTTCCGCTGGCTTCCTATTTCTCTGTGGATAAAGGCTCAAATATTTAACCTGGTTATACAATTTTGTAAATCTTTTGAAAAACCATTGTATCGTCAACTGAAATGTCCATACACAGGTGAAAGGACAAATAAAATATATATACACATAATAGAATACTAATCAGCCATACAGAAAAATGAAGTCCTCATATATGCTATAATATTGAGTGAATCTTGAAAACATCATGCTGAGTGGAACATCAGTCACAAAAGGATAAACACTGTATTATCTCACTTATATGAAATAAGCAAATATATAGATACCAAAGATTACTAGTGATTACCAGAAGTGAAAGGAAGGGGAAAGGGGGAAAATTTTTGCTTATGGGGTGGCACTGAGTTGTTAATGGTGGTGGAATGATTTGGAAAAGGATAGAATGGTTATTACTACTTGAAGAATGCAATCAATGTCAGAGAATTGTACATACAGAAATTGTTGATTTGGCACATGTTTTGTGATTTGTATTTTCACCACAATGAAAAATCATTAGATTTTCACTTGAAATGGGTGAATTTTAACGTATGTAAATTATACCTCAGTAAAGTTGTTTAAAAATACACTTACATGTTGTTCAGAGTTGTTGCAAGACACACAAAAAAATCTTTAACTAAAAATGATTTAAGCAAAAAATATGTGTGTATTGGCTTATGAAACTGAAAATCCAAAGATAGGAATGGTTTTAGGTATAACTTACTGACTGGGTGTTTAAAAAATGTCACTAGCCATAGGGTGTAGCACAGAGCAGTACGAATTTGAGGAGTTTTAGAAATTTCTATGAGAATTTTTGCACCTCTTATCTTTCTACTTATGGTGTAACTTGAATTGATTACCAATAGAAATGCCAGATTTTCTTGAATAATTCTTCTACTTCTAGATTTTGAAACCCCCAAGGAGTCCTCTTCAGGACCTCAGAGGTGGGAATGAAACAGTTCAGGTAAGTCTCTACTGCAAATGTTTTATTTATTTCAGTGATATTTTTAATAGGAACTTTATTAACTGTATAAATAGAGAACATCATAAGTAATTCCCAATTGAACATGTGCAGGTAAGCATCCAATGTCTTTCAGGTTAAAATCCTCAATCCCTAGCATGCTTGGGATTCATGATTGTTAACCCTGTTTGCTTCTTCAGTCTTTTTTCTTGCCTCTCTCACACATGTATTCTGTGGTTTAGAATTGCTTACTATTATCCAAATAATATGAGAGCTGTTAAGCCTGCAAATATTTATACATGCTATTCTCTCTGTCCCTCATTCTTCATCAAATACATTATAAAAATTTTTTCAAACTTATAGAAAAGTAAATTTTACATTGAACTCATATATTCATCACCTAGATTCTACAATCACCCTTTTTTATCATATTTGCTCTATCATGAATCTCTAACCCTTCTTTATTTAGTTAATTTCTACTTGTCCTTCAAGATTCAACTTTGATATCACTTCTTTCAGAATGTCATCTCTTAACACCTATTGTACTTCTGTCCATGCTAAATTGAACTCCTTGAGGACTGTGTTCTGCTTACCTAGTGCCACTCTGACAAGAAATATACCACAAATGGGATGGCTTGAACAAACAGGAATTTATTCCCTCACAATCTGGAGGCTTTAAGGCCACGTTCAAAGTGCCAGGCTCTAGGGGCTGGGTGAAAGCCCCTCGATTTTGACTTCAGCTCTGCCTCTTGCTCCCAGCTCACTGAAGCTAGAGGCATCTCTTCACTCAGGCAGCTACTGGCTGCTGAGGCTAACAAGCCCAAGGTTGACAAATAAAATGGCACAGTCCTGATGTTACCAAACTACATGGCAGGCCATTAATTCAAGTCCATTGAAAGTCCCAAGGTTTGCAGAGCATGGCAGGCTGCTGAACAACAACATGGCTACATGCAGGGTTCAAGTGTACCATAAGTTAGAGACTGTTCCCCAGGCTTCTCCTTATATACAGGATGCAGACCACAGCCCTAAGGCAGCTACTCAGCTGCTCACAGTAGATTCTACCATGGAGTTGATTACCAGTCTCATCATGATGAATACTACATCCAGCTGCCCAACCACTCAACCAGGCCCAGCCAAGTTGACACACAAACTGAACTACCATAGACTGGAACTTTATCATGTGTTTTTGTATTTAATTACCGGGTGCATAGTTGGCTTTCAGTATATTTTGTTGATTAATGAAATGCATGTAGTTTTGGAGACCATATAATTCTGAGTACTTACTCTACTTTGGCCCCTCTAATCTTTTTATTTCTCGTATGCATCAAGCTTTTTCCTGCTTCAGGGCCAGTGTACACATTGGGTTTAGAAAGCTTTCCCTTAACAAATTCTTCATCTGGCTGACTTCTAACTAATCCTTCAGATCTCAATTTAAATATACGGCCTCAAAGAAATCTTCCCTGATTCCTAAGCTAAATTAGATCTTTTATGTAGCTCTCCTTCAAAGCACTTTTCACACTTATATTTTATATTTGTGTGAATTTTTTTTAATGTCTAACTTGCTGTTAATCTAATCCCCACTAGAGTAGTGTATCATTTACCATTATCTTTCCATCACATTGGATAGAGCCTAGTGTGTGTGTATGTTTTTAACTGAATGAATGTTGAGTGAATAAATGACAGATTCACCTCACCAGTAATCTTGAATCCTTCATTTTCTAGTTGAGAAATATGAGATCCAAAGAGGTTAAGTGTTTTGTCTAAGTCCTCACAGCTAGTTGATGGCAGACCACAAACTGGAGCTCTGAATTTTGTAGCTTAGTGCTCTAATATACCACAGAGTTTGTCTTTTTTTAGTAAGAAAAATATTAATTTCTGTTAGCCCTAGTATTTACTACATCAGTATTATCATTGTCTTATTAGGCTCAAGTTTACTTACAATGTCTGCTAGGGCCTTAACCCCATATACTGCTGGATGTAATTGTTGTTGTTAGTTGCTGTTGAGTTGGCACTGACTCATTGCAACTCTGTGTACAACAGAACAAAACACTGCCCAGTCCTGTGCCAGCCACACAATCCTTGTTATACCTGAGCCCATAGTTGCAGCCACTGTGTCAGTCAATCTCGTTGATGGCCTTCCCCTTTTTCGATGATCCTCCACTTTACCAAGCATGATATCCTTCCCCGGAGAATAGTCACTTCTGACAACATGACCAAAGTGGGTGAGACAGTCTGACCATTCTTGCTTCCAAGGAGCATTCTGGCTGCACCTCTTCCAGGACATATTTGTTTGTTCTTCTGGTAGTCCCTGGGACTTTCAGTATTCTTCACCAACACCACAACTTATAAGCATCAGCTCTTCTTAGTCTTCCTTAATCATTCATTGTCCAGCTTTCACATCCATATGAGGTGATTGAAAATACCATGGCTTGGGTTAGGTGTACCTTAATCTTTAAAGGGACATCCTTGCTCTTCAGAACTTTAAAGAGGTCCTTTGTAAAGAGAATAACTATTCTTGATTCTTTATTATAATAAAAATTATGTTCAGATATTCAGAATTAATCAGTAATAGCCTAGTAAAATATTCAATTTTGTTTCTTTTGTCTGTTTGTGTTTGCTAACTATATGAGTAGAAATGTTTGCTTTTATTAAGGAGAAAGATGGGGAGAGAAAATAAAAATAGTATATTATAGTAAAAGTACCTGTAAAAAGGGCATTGGGGCAGCATCCTCTAACTTCATGAAAGGGGGAAGAGAAAGTTGCCATCAGCAGCATCAGCCTAAGGCTGATTCCTATGAGGTCAGACATGCTGCCACCCTCCAACTTTTTTTTTAACCAATTCTTACACAAACTGTCATTCCTGTGGCACTCTCTAACCCTCTACTTCTCTGCTGGGTTTGATAATTCATTGCAGTGGCCACACAGAACTCACAGGCAATACCCATGATTATAAGGCTTATTAGGGAAGTTGTTGTTGTTATGTGCCGTCGAGTCAGTCTCGACTCATAGAGACCCCTCCTTGGGTTTCCGAGGCAGTATCACTACGGAAGTAGATTGCCCAACCTTCCTTCCAAGGAGTGGCTGGTGGGTTTGAACCGCCAGCCTTCTGGTTAGCAATCAAGTGCACTACTAGAGCTCATTAGGGAAGTAACAAGTTACATTTCAGGATCAGCAACCCTCAGGATACAATTCTTTGATCAGGACAGCTTCCTCTCTGCCATCCCCAAAAACTTGCCTCTCTTTGGCCCTTGGCCTCTTGGCCTGGCCTCTGGCCTGCTCAGGCAAGTGTTATAAACATCATTTTTGCTCTGCCAGTGTGTGCATCTTACTCTGCCAGCAAGCTTCCTGTCCAAAGGCACTCGGCTTTCTTGCTCTGTGGGCCAAGCCAAGATGCCCACAGCTCTGTCTTGTACCAATCTCTTGGTTCTGCTGCCTTTGCTGCTACTGTCTCTTTGCCAAGGAAGTCCGGTGCAAGGATCTTGGGTCCAAAGACATGCTCCACTTGTGGCTGATCTCTATCTTGATGGTAGTGATATCCATCCCCCCTTCTGCCTCTGGGAGTGCTCATTTTAAGCCTAGTGGAATGATAAAACTGACCAATCCCCACATTAAGGTGTTATACTGTATTTGCACAGTTTGACCTCTACAGGAGTGCTGTGTACCTAATTTATGTTACTAGAAGCTATCCAATCCCCTTGGTGGATCACAAACAGCACCTTATATTTGCATGGTTCCACCCAGAAATCTGATGGGAATTACAAAGAACACGGCTAGAAGACCCAAACTAAGTAATTCACTACACCACAGTACCATAATAGGAGCATATCACTTGCTTTGTCTTCAGCCTTACTTTAACTTCATAGCAAAATAACCACTCATTTAAAAGGAGTGAGAAAGGTAAGAAGAGTAATCACCTTTCTTGATGTGAAACAATGTGTGTTGTTTGTGTCAGTATGCTTATTATCACTCACACTGAAAATCATATTGCTTGCTATGTTCTTCAACATTGGGCTATTTTGGAGAATCACATATCAAATTAATTCAGAATTAATCAAGACCTGATCTCTGTTCACAGTTAAACCTAATTCACAGTGGTTTCATTAAGAATCATACTGCATATTCTTTGCCCTTAGGAATCCAATGCTGTGAGAAATAGGAAAAGCTCTCGTCGAGTCAGCTTTGCAGATACTATAAAGTAAGTTGAAAGAAATAATTAAGATTTACTGGTAATACATCTTTTATATATCAAACCAAATATATTGGTACTATTGGATAATCTATGTCTCATTTAGATAAACATTAGAGAATTGTTATTTAAAAGATTGTTATTCAGCATTTTGCTTAAAACTAAACATTGAAAACATTCCCACTAAAGTTGAACAAAACAAAGATGTCTACTATCACCACTGTTATGTAGTATTGTACTGGAGGTGCTAACCACCATGAATAAACTAGAGAAAGAAATCAGAGTTATAAAAATTAGAAAGGATGGAGTAAATCTTTTACCTTATGTAGATAAAACGTTTATATATTAGGAAAATTAGAACATCAACTGAAATACTATGGACAATAGGTTGTTGTTGTTATGTGCCGTCGAGTCGGCCCCGACTCATAGCGACCCCTCCTTGGGTTTCCGAGGCAGTATCACTACAGAAGTAGGATTGCCCAACCATGGACAGTAAGTAGGAAGGTATAAAATTAATATATGTAAATAAATTTCATATATATATATATATATATATATATATATATATATATAAAAATAACAACCAGATAGAAAAGAAATATTTTTTTCCTCCATGGTATTCTCTTTTGTTGTTATATAAAGTGTAAAACACTACTGAAGGACATAAAGGAAGATTTGAACAAATGAAGACAAACTATGTTCCTGTATAAGAAGATTTAACATCATGAAGAGTCAGTTCTCCCTAAATTAATTTATTAATGTCAATCTTTATATATATCTTCATGATGTTTAGCAGTGTTTATCTCCTTTTTAATGCAAGAGTCACATGATAGTAGAAGAACTAGATGGTGCCCAGCTACCGCTGTCAACCACTCAGAAAGGGATCAGTGCAGAAGATCCTGGATAAAGTGGGAGAACAATATGAAACAAAACTCTAAAAAGATCAAGTTTACTTGTCTCATAGAACCTGGTAGGACCCCTAAGACTAAAGCCTCTAGTTACCCTTCAAGCCTGGAACTGAACTCACTCCTGTGACTTCCAGCTGAACAATAAATAGGCATATAGGGTGAATATTTATATCAGGTAGATACACTCCTTAGAATGATCCATCATGAGAGAACAGAAGGGCAGTAATTGCATAGGGAGATAACCCAGGGGGCAGGAATGCATAGGACAGAAGGACACAGGAAAAAGGTAACTACAGAGAGGAAGTGGGAAGAGAGCTGGTGTTGTCAGGTGCCATCCAGTCATTTCTGACTCATAGCAACCCTGTGCACAGCAGAACAAAGCACCGCCTGATCCTGTGCCAGCCCTGTGATCCTTGCTATACTTGAGCCCATTGTCGCAGCCACCGTGTCAATCCATCTTGTTGAAGGCCTTCCTCTCTTTTGTTGACCCTCCTCTACCTTACCAAGCATGACATCCTTCTCCAGGGAATGGTCCCTTCTAACAACATGACCAAAGTAGGTGAGACGAAGTCTGTCCATTCTCGCTTCCAAGGCACATCTTGGCTGCACTTCCTTCAAGACAGATCTGTTAGTTCTTTTAGCAGTCCATGGTACTTTCAGCATTCTTCGCCAGCACCACAACTCAAAAGCATCAACTCTTCTTCGGTCTTCCTTATT